TTTTAAACAGCTTATTGTACAGGTAAGTTAATCGCCGTTCTAATCTAATGCGCTGCTGCACTGTAACGCACACACATAGGCTTCAGACAGTAGCTCGTACATCACGCGCACAGAATCATTCAGCGCGGAAATGCATTGTTCTGTGATTTCTCAATAAAATAGCTTAGAAACTGAAAAGTTCAAGCATATATTTCTTAATAACTACATTCCACAGCTTCACTACTAGTAGAGAGACGCTGCCAGGTAGAAATAATCTACACACGCAATCGCTCTCTCACTAATGCATTCATATTAATGTAATCTTTACTGTGCTACTTTATCTGTATCTGATTTAGAACGAGCAGAAATCTGTGAGAAATATATGACTTAAAGACAAAAGAACTGATAAAAAAAAGCTGTTATAGGAGCAATAGCCGTGTGGGCAGCGCTGTGTCATATGCCATAGCTGTGCACAAGGTGTTTGTCACAGCTCCAGACTTATGTGTTCATTAATGACGTCATCAGCAACTAATCTACTTCGACTCGACTTTCATCACATAAAAGTCGACTTCAAAAAATCAGAAGCCGTTCAACCCCTAGTTCACATATAGCTACATGACACCCTGCATGAAAGGTAATATTCGAAAAGGCATAATAGGGGCACTTTAAGGAATACATGTTAAAACAGCTTGCCATACTCAAGACGCGTTTTTAAAGCTATAACTAGACTACTTTTTCGGTTGACAATGTCATGTCAACAGTGCTCAGGGAGCGAGTTGCTTAAAAAACAGCGAGACGCGACGCAACGACCACAGACGTCCACCTGACGCCGGTGTACAGAGACAGAAATAGCTATTACAAAATAGCCAGAACGCCCCCTAACAGGTTACAGGCGTTACACTGGAACTGTTCTGACACAGCCCATAAACTAATAAGGAGAAGCGACATAAAGTGAGAACAATCTCTTTCAATCATTGAGATCTAGACCATCTACTTTCAAAGGGTGTGATACAAAACCCAGTGAACCGCCTACACAGACAGCAATATTGAGCATCTTAGGCGCGTCCATGCTGTCTAGTTAGGGAGCTCGCTAGTTTTTGAGACACGGCGGCGTGTGGAAGTCTTACACAGATAATTGCTGATGCAGTTCACGGATTCACACGTACTTTGGCCCTGCTGCTTAACAGCAACGCCGAGACCTAAACGGAGCTGGTACCTTTAAAACGCGTATTCCCGTTCCCGCTCGGGCTGTCGGTGCTTCATGCAGCACCGGGATCAGCGGCGCTCCGCTGCCCGCCCGGCCATCCTCCACATCGGCTGCATTTCTCCGCTCCGTGTCGGCGCTCTGGAGCGACCGCGCTGTGCTTTTCTCGTCCTTCATTTCGCCTACATTTGACGCCTTTCAGCACAGAAATCCAGATGTAAGATACCAGTCGGCGACAGATAAATTCCAGTACAGAAGGCGGTAGAAAAAGCCCATCCTGATTTGATGAGACGCCATAGTGGGACTGAAGCGCACGGCTGTCAAATAAACTCAATCAATAAACATGAGGGGGCGGCGCTCATTATTATTCATAGAACACCGTCCATTCCTGCACTTCCGCTGCTGAATTATTCATGAGAATATTTAAATCTGTGGCTAGTTGTTCAAAACAAAAGTAATCTGATCGGATTGAATCAAATCTTAAAGGGGTCATATGATGCTTTTTTTAAAGATCATTATTTGGTGTATTTGGTGTAACAGAATATGTTGACATGCTTTAATGTTCAAAAAACACATTATTTTTCAAATACTGTACATTATTGTAGGTCCTCTATGCCCCGCCTCTCTCAAACGCTTCGTTTTCTACAAAGTCCCTCCTTCCGACAAGTGCAGTCTGCTCTGATTGGCCAGCTGACCCAGTGCATTGTGATTGGCCGAACACCACAAGCACTCGTCGGAAATGTAAGCCCCTTACCATAATCAGAGCTTCATCTTTCAAAATAAATGTAAAGACAGAGCCCGAAAGGGGAACAGAGTCGCGTGACAGACACAGTGATGAAGCTGGTAT